GGCGTCATGCAATTGCAACCAATGCTCATCTATACTTTTCGGTGGAATGGTAGCTAGCCTAGAAGCTAGCTCGGTTCGATACTTACTAGCGACAGAAGTTGCAACCAGCTTGCTAATATCAATCCGTTGATGGCGGTCACTTCGTTGTCCACTGAAAAGTAAGGTAAGATTGGCGCAGACCAAAGCATGATCAGAGTCCAGATAGGTACTCGAAAAGGAGCGGCAGTCTTGTACACAACCACGCCAGCGGTAGCTGATCGCGATGTGATCAATCTGAGTCCAGGCCTGGGATGCAGAGGGAGGACGCCGGGTGGCACATCGGTGATGACTGTGCCGAAAGTTAGTGCTAGCCAGAAATAAGTTGTGGTCTGTGCACAGTTGCAGTAGACGGTCCCCGTTATCTGTCCTGCGACCAACAAGTCCCCATCGGCCACCTAAACGACTCTCTTCTGTGCCTAGACGCCCGACCTGAGCATTGAATTCTCCGGCTAATACTACAATATCTGTCGAACGCACTTTCTGGAGAAGAACAGTTAACTGGTGTTAAATTTCATCCTTGATTGCATCCGGGCTGCAATCTGTCGGGGCATAGGCGGAGATGACGAAAAGACATCGTTTCTCACGCCGATTTCTTCTCACTTTGATGGAACTCTCTAATCTAACAGCACATAACCGACTGTTAATGGGGATCCACTCGACTAGTACTGCCTCAGCTCTAGCGCTTAGTGCGACACCAACGCCAGCAAGAGCAGACGAAGATGCCATAGGGTCCCCGGATAAACGCACGTAAAACAAGCTTTTTGAAGCGACAGACGGAGAGCGAATTTGTAGTACTTCATCAGAGTCTTGAATACGGGTCTCGGATAGACAGCAGACATCGATATTAGGACTCTCTAAAGATATAACCAGCCCTATCTGTTGTCCAACCTGCATTAGTGTGCGAACGTTGAAGGCAGCCTGTTTGAATCGTGCACGCGGTTTCAGAAAATCTGTTTCAATATTTGTAATCAGTGGTAGTATTCAATTTCCGACCAGTCAGTTACTCGAGATCGTTTAGATAGAACAGAGTTTCCACCATGGGCGAGCTGCTTATAAGTTGAAAAATAAAAGTACACAAAGTGGGAATAAAAAAGTGAATAACTGACGTGGTAATAATAGTAATAGCAATAATAATAATAATAACAATAATAATAATAATAATAATAATAATGTGAATTGTTTGACTGTTAATCGAAGAGCGAATAGAATTTTCAGTAAATATCGTCATTTTCATTTTATCTGTGTGTGGACTGCGATACTGCCCGGGTGCCCAAGCCGAAGCAGGTAGTTTTCTTAGGGTGCCACATCCAGAGCCTTTGAAATAAAGATCTGGTCCACAAGGTAGTGGAGCAACTTTAGGAGATGCAGTTCCATGGTAGCCGGTGATCAACAATAGGTTCATGCGCCTTTTGTTCCTTCCGAATACTGGAGCCCATGTTGGAATCAAGATTTTCCGACTCCTAGGTGAACTCTCCATGTCCACCGGACTGGTTAAAGCGCCGAACACTCGCCGTTCTTCCTCTCAATTTCGTAAACAACATCCTCGCCGCGAGAAGGCAGTGAGTAGGACTTCCCTGGCAGAGTCTGTATACACGTGGCTTTGTGAGAGCATTTCGAAAGGGAGGGCCGGCCCTTCCCACTCTCGGCCGTACCAGGGCATTCGGGGGCCTGGACATGTGCTGTGAATGCCGATGCTGGGACTAGTTGTAAAATGCGGAGAGGTGGTTAGTGTATGACATTGTGTCGTGGTATGAAGGAAAGCTGTACAGGACCGGATTCTGTTAACCCTTCATGACGTCCTGTTTGGGGTTCCAGAGATGATGTAAGACAATGGCTTGAGACGTTATCAGATATGGCTCAGAATAGAAGCCATTGGCTATCCTGCTGTAACTTTCTTTTACTTTCATCATGAAAAATTAACTTTACTTTTCAATTGATAGGATTTTTCCCGGTTGTACTACATCTAACGGAACTACTTTTCCAATAATAATAATAATAGTTATTATTATTATCTCACTCATGTACCAATTTATGTTCATTGTTCTTTTATTATACGCACGTTACATTATCTCTTCACAAGCTCATTGTAACTGTGTGGCGCATATGTATTTGATGCCCTCTTGTACCAATGTTGTGCTCGTATAAATAAATATATTCATACGTATCCGATAACGTCTCAAGACAGTGTGTTGCACCATCTGTAAGACCAAAAATAGGAAGTCATGAAGAACCAACAGATGCCAGTCATGTACAGCTTTATGTCTCACCAGTCCTAGCATTGACAAATAATGCACGATGTGGAATTCACTGGAACGACATAGTGCATGTTCGAGCAATCGAAGTCGGTGTTTCATGATGGTGACACTGATTGAATTGTCGTCACCATATAAAAACGCACGCTACCTAACCTCGGCATTACTAACATGTTGCTACCCTTGAATGTCAGAAGGCCAACGATCAGACGCAGAGTCGTCTAACATCCTCAATCAGGGAAGACCGAGTTTCACAAGCATAGAGCAAAACTGGTCTAACTGACGCGTTATAAATCCGATCTTTTACAGCCAGACTAGCAATATCAAGGCTCCAAACATGGCTCAGATTCGGGTAAACCGCTCTGTTTTTTACTATACGCGAATTGGTTTAATCACTCACGCCACCAACTTTGCTATGCTGCCTTCTCACCAGGAAGGGTGGGGTTAGAAAAGATTGACCTTAAGAATGCACACCTCGCCTTATCCCACGGATTTCCGTCTCCGGCGGTGAGGTCCCAACAAGCACGGAGCTAACAAAAAAATTACCCACAAGAAGGTCGTGTGTGATTGGCTTTAGGCAGTTGTCCCTTGGGTACTGCGGTCATGTTCTCAGGTTACTAAGACCACCTCTTGCCCTTTTCAGGTACGTCCAGAAGAACCCTTCCACAGTGTGAGCGATCGGGATGTAAAAACCGCTTTCAAACTTCTAATAGTACTCAAAACCACTGTATTCATAATCAACCTCCCTCTTCAATTCCCATTATTCTTCCCACCTCGACTTTCAACCTTAAAATTCCTCTTTTGGCTTCCTCCTCAAGTGTCAACCTGGCCAACGATTCTAGTACGCGAAACACTGTTCCAGGTCTACTGAAACCTCTCTCCAAACTACACATTGGAGACTTCAACGTACACACCGTATGTCGAATCGGCCAGCAGACCTCCTTGACTAAGACCCTGGAATCTCGTACCATTGATGTATGCTGTCTCAGAAACACTCACACAGGACCCTAGTGTGGTCAGTCACTCGACCTCAGTTCGCCGAAATGGTCTTACCGCTCATCAACCGACCTGTATGACATGGTAGGACCTTAAGGAACAGTTGATGCAGCCAGTATAGCTCGGTTGCTTCGTCACGTTAGGCAAGCCCGACCACCACGTCAAGGTAGTAACAACAGTCGAGCAATCCGCACTTAATCAGTTGGCAATCAGTGTCCGTAGGTACGGTATGTGCTTTGCATCTTCGAAGTACAAAGTACTTTTACAAGACTGGCAGGATTCTGATCATGTACTCACTTTGGGTGGTGAGCAGGTAGAAGTAGTCGGGAATTTGTGTACCTGGGTAGATGCATAAGTGCTGGTGGTGGCGTGAGTGATGAGATCAATGCACGTATAGTGAAAGCCAGAGCGGCTTATGCCAATCTGGGCCACCTTTGGCGCCTTCGTGATGTTAGTCTGACTGTAAAAGGTCGAATCTACAACGCGTCGGTGAGTGCAGTTTTACTCTATGCTTGTGAAACCTGCCCTCTCCGAGTTGAGGACGTTAGACGACTCTCTGTGTTCGATCATCGCTGTCTCCGAAGGATCGCTGACATCCAGTGGCAACACCATGTCAGTAATGAAGAGGTTCGGCATCGTGTGTTCGGGCGCAGAGACGATAGTTCAATTGGTGTCACCATCTCGAAACATCGACTTCGGTGGCTTGGACATGTCCTACGAACGTCGTCCCAGAGAATTCCACGTCGTGCATTATTTGCCGACGCGGGACTGGTTGGAAGAAGCGGAGAGGTGGTCAGTGCATGACATGTTGTCGCGGAATAAAAAAAAGCTGCAAAGGACTGGCTTCTGTCGGTCCTTCACGACTTCATGCTTAGTGTGTTCAGTATTTCCATCTCTTGCAAATTTGATTCGTCTTGATTACTTACTACACGTAGATTTGGTGGCTCAGCGATCAAGACCCTCTCAGCCGCTAAGTTACGAGCCTGATCTCTGTCCCACCTACTTCAACTTTGGGGATTGGGTAGTATCGAAGCTCTTGCACTTAATGCGTGGCTCATAGCCTAAGGTATAGATCTATACTTGGTAAATGACCCTTAAAAAATATAAAACACTTCTGACCACTCCCACATCGTCAGTTACGTAACAAGGACACCGTAGAAATTAATTAACCGTTTTTATCCAGAGAATGTTACTCCACCAATGTCCTTGCTCCAGGTTGTCGAAGACTCCTTCATATCTGTTATAATTCTCTTTTACGGTTATAACCCAGCTATTCCTATTGCTTAGTATTCTCGGACACCGATTCACTCGACAAGTCCCCAAATCAGAACACGGTTGAACAGCAAAGAGATTATATTCCAATAACAAGGTTAGATGGAAGTAAGAAGCACAATAGGGAAAACGTTAGTATATTTATAGTTTTTCACATGAGAAGATTTCTAGTGTTCACTAAGTATTGACTAACACTGATTGGATAAGAATTAGCCAATCAGCGTGCACCAAAGCAATCGTGCATTGAGCATGCTTTAATCCAGTCTATGTCCCGCTAACAATATTCTTTTCGGATTCCTCGTTTATATTGATGCTTATGTGTAAAAAATAAAGCTTTCTCATAATCGATGTTTAAAATCACGAGTGGTTAACTGGTTGATTTTATTTCGAAATATTTTCTATGACTTTTTCGCGGTTATCATTCTAGCGTTTCCTTTGTAGATGAAGAAGCGATTACATCGATCTGTCGGTTGTTTTGGATTTAGATCTATTCATCTTTTTTCAAACACAGCGATTACCAGTAAAAAGCTGCAATCCAAAAATCCCCCTATTCAGAACTCTGATCCAGACCCCAAAACGTATAACAAAGGACAAAATTTACCAGCATCTAGTGATTATGACCTAATGTTAAGTAGTGTAGTAAAAGAAAATGGTACGTATAATTAGTTTTGGAAAAATACGTAAAACCATGTATAAGGTCGATTTTACTTAAATTCAGCATGTAATGATGATGCTAGTTGAATTATTTGCGATGAGTAAGAACGGTTATTTTATCCATTGTACAGCTACCTCCTAGTTCAGAATTTCATTCATTTCTGGATATTAAGGTTAGTTAAAACGATAAAATCTTATAAACATTAGACATTTAGTGCGTGTTAACCTTTTCTGAAATTTCGTTGAAGCTAAGGATAAAATACAAAGGGAAAATGTATGTAAAAAATTGTTCTGTTGAATTTTTAGTGTTGAACTAACAATAAATTTGGCACAGTGCTGCGTATGTATAAATACATAATACACACAAAGTTCAACGAAATCACATACTATGAAGTGACTATGAGCTCACATAAGTATATGACTTAGTTTTTATCATAACTATGTATCTCGAAAGGATTGTCAGAAATCTGTCTGCTGTTATTGGCTGAGGTCTATCGATGTGTGTTTGTAGATATCTGAGATTAATTTCCAATGACTAATATTATTTTAAAACGGGCCTTTGTGTCTTGCATATATTTCGTGCATTTATTTTCAACAACTTTTATGCGGATCACTAATCGCCGACGTTGGTAGGAGATAGAAATTGCGAGTAGGTGTAGATTTTATGACAAGAATTCATGTAATAAAGGATAGTTTTTGTTGTGGATGCAGAAGAATAAACCAATAATTATCATGTTAAGTCCAATGGTGTCCTTGGACTTTAAATGGACATTGCCTATTGGTCGATATCTGTTCACTTGTTGAATATTGTACAAAATGTTGTTTTCCATTTTATGGTACGATGTAGTATGCTTGATTGGTATATAAACAAAGTATGTTTGAAATATAATGATTCATATCTCCGAGGCTGTGGCTTGTCTTCTGGGCTAGACAGGGAAGCAGGATCAATCAGAACCCTAGGTCGTTCTACGTGTTTGTGCGTTTTTGGTCCGATCAATAATTCGCGCCCCTTAATACGCAGCAAATAATTTTTCACAGTCATAACAGTTTTTAGTTCTAAAAATTTTGCAACCCAATAGCTTGCGGCTTTATGAGACATAAGTCAAATTGAAAATTAGTGATGATTATTCTGGATTTTTTCGTCATATCCTTTGTAAATAGCAGGTGCCTTTTTAACTGAACGAAGTGTATTTTATTTATACTGTGTTCCTCCAAAGTTCTTCACGATATCATTTCGTTCTTTGTAGCGTATTTCATAGTGTGCTGTTGTGACAGCTTTTTTGGTATCAAAACGTTAGTCTTACTGGTTGCTTGGTGTTTGTCGAAATTATTACAAGATGTTTGACAAACTTTGTTTTCATTTGGATGCGTGTTTTTTGACTGAATTCGCTTATACTTACCAGTGTATTTGCTTCTCGATTCAGCGAGTCAAATGATATCTATTATTCGGTTGACTTTTCTATTGTACGTTGAGTGTTGCTTACTCTAAAAGCATTGAATTCAAGGAGATTTGGTTAGCCTATGTGCTATCAAGCAATTACTTATTTTGATGAGTAGTCTGAGCACCTATTATTTTTCCTTCTAGTCGTACATCTATACCCACTTCCAAAACTAGCTACTTACCTCACAGCCGTTTTTCAGAATGTTTTCGGTGGGAAAATGAAAGAGACCTAAGTAGGTCAGTCGACTCTTCTCAACCTCATTTCTATTTTGGAAGAACGATCTGAGGCAATCGTATTTGGGGGGGTCTGGTAGGACAGTCATTCAAGTTTAACGACGTTACTTTTTCAGAAGCAATCTGGTGATACATTGTATCAGTACACAAAATGTATAAATAAAACTAGGTAGATCTACGTGGTTTTAATCGGAATTGATCTGTTGTTTCACATTTTATCATCTAACACAGACTTCCCGGAGCTTAGATTTCTACTGTAATCAAAGTCGTTGAATCATTTTTAGCGATCATGTTGCCATTTTTCATACTTATTTACTAATTTCCAAGTTTAATGTTCTAAATAGTGTTTCGATACATTATCATATTGTTTGTTCTACATAATAGATGCCTCCTCATGTTCCACTTCTCAAGTAACCAATACTAGTGTGCATAATAGTAATCTATCACACACAAAAACTAGCAACGTCGAGGAAAATGGAAAATACTTAGTGTTTGGCGGTAAAGTTTCCGAACCTCGTGCCCCACGTATTTCTAATGTCAGAAAACAACAACCGATGAAATTTCAATCTCGTACACTCAGTCCTTCCGATAATCAAGATGTACATGAGTCGTTGCAAAGAAATTTTATCCTTAACTGCTCATCTGTTTCAACATTGAAGCGCAACTCTTCCGAAACAAGAAAAACTGATGATTTCGATCTACAATTTGAAAAGCAATTAAATAATGGTAGTAGACATTATGACCTAAATAATGATGTATCAGAAGATATTCACAATTACTTATTGAATTCTCCATCCTGTACAAATTTACTAAACACTGTAACTGCCAAATATTCAGATAAAAAGTTGATTTCCAAGACGGTAAGTCTTGGAATTCCTACACAAAGGTAAATTATATATATATATTAAATGCTCTGTTTTTTCCTGTGGTAAAGAAATTCATGAAAATATGTTTTTCTAATGCATACTAAAAACCAACTGTTTATTTACTACATGAATCCCGTTTGTCATAGAAAATAAAAGTTCCAGCCGTCCGACAGACTCATTCATTTGAATAACAACTAGTCTGTCGTAACCAAGTTTTGTGCCCAATACACTACTTCCACGTCAGTAAACCGTCAAGTAAACCACTAACATGCCGTTAACACTCCAAGGCCGAATGGGAAATTTTACCCAAAATATTTGGGACCCTGATAATTGACCAAACTTAGTGAATTTTCTGATTTTCACTATTATTAGTATCTGGTAATTATTATTATGGTAAAATTTCTCAGTATCGTTTATGTGTCAATGCTTATGATGTTATTGGTTAACATTTCCTTGGCAGTTATTTTTGTCACTAGAAATTTGTTTGCATTTAACAAACACTGTAAACTACTTTCAAAGCATAGTTTGTGATACTGTTTTGCAAATACGCTATGTATATATCACTGAATTAGGTGAAATATCAGATTATTGGATTTGAGTGATTTCTTCAATCTACCTCGAGAGAACTTATAGCTGACTGAAAAACAATTGTGCAATTTCTGATTGGATTCTTTATCGCTTTGTAGTTTCTTTTCAAAGAACACATTTTCTTTTTAATTCCTTATTCACAGTCTATGTTTATATGCAGAATTTAACCTGATAAGTTTTCTTTAACTTGTGAACTTTATTCAAAAATTATGAAAGAGCATTTATATTTGATAGGTTAGGATATTAAATAATGATTTATTACCTAATGGTACTGTACTTCAAGTGATCACTAAAGAGAAGACAAATCCCAGCGTAAACAAAGACGGTACGAATAAACGAAAAAGATAAATGTCAATCTAAGATATTAAGTGTGCTTTCCCTTAAATACGAACAGAATGAAGTGCCACGTCACTTTTCCTAGCATATAGAGCAAACAAATGTCTATTTTCGAAGTGTTATCACTAAGTTTTGATAATTTCAAATAACAACTATTGGTAAAAGTCTCATATCATGACACTGACATGATCAAAATTATTTTTTGACTACTATATATTCTGCGTTCTTCTGTACTACATAAACTTATACTAACTTCAGGCAACCAGATCTCTCGATACATTTAAACAGCAAAATCAATAAGGTTTGTCAAAAAAGGATTAATTATGTTTCACAACTTCTCATAACCTATATACAGCCTAAGATTATATATATAATCTGTCAAGCATAAAGCTAATCAAGATTGAAAGTGAAGTTATATCTCTTTCTCGGATTTAAATGGCCATGTTCCAAGTAAAAATGTCAACCAAGTTGATATACAAATTCAATTTGAAAGGCTGTACCAACAAGTCACGGACTTAAAACTTATAGATCATGACAGAAAGGTTTGGTCTGAATCCAAACTTGTTGATGTGGCAAATCGACATTATATTTTCGCAATTTCACATCCAAGAATGTTGACGAAGGAACATATGTTGGCGTTGAAGAATTTACAAAAGAATAAGACCGTTATAATAAGACCAAATTGAGCTTCATGTATTGTAATAATGAATCGAAAAGATTATGTGTATAAAATAGCCCAAATTCTCAAAGATGCATCAAAATTCCAAGTTGGCAAATCTAGTAAATATGTCATCGGAACGATGGGAAACAGAGTTAATAAACAACCTACGGAACTTTTGAAAAAGGAACTCATCGATAATTCAACTTACAACAATCTGCCGGCAAAATGGTCGAGATTGCCTTTTATATATAGTTTCCATCATGTACACCAATTCAATATCCCGTTAAGATCTATAGTGTCTATGGCAGACTCACTAATATCATAAGTTAGCTCGATGGTTAACTAAATTATTAGAACCAATTCTTAAGAAATTGGCGGCTCATAGTTTAATAGACAGACCACAGTTTTCTGATGAAATGGATAATTTGAATAACCCAGATAAATTCATGATGTCTTTTGATGTCTGCTCATTATTTACACGCATACCGTTAAAAGAGGTTGTTAATATAATTTGCAAACAGTCTGAACTACTTTCTTGACCATAAAATAAGTTGAGGAAATTATTATTGCTTTGGATAAAAGAAAGTCATCTCCAGTTCAGCAATAAATTGTACAAGCAAACAGGTAGGGTGGCCTTAGGATCGCTCCTATAGCCTACTTTGGCCGATGTTTGTGGTTAACCTAGAAGAAAAAAAACTAAAACATGAAATACAGAATACGATACACCATTCCAAATATGTCGATGTACGTTTATTATTTGTGATGACATGGATTATTTTCCAGTTGGTGTCTTTAACGTGTTTTGGACTTTTAGATGCCCGGAAACAGTAGATAACTGTTCTAACTTATCAATGAAACATGTATTAGGAATTCGGCCGTTAGTGAGACTATCTCGGAAAAAGACGTGAATATTATTCACTCTCAACCCAGGAGATCGAACCAATGGCCAGAACACTCTTGGAAAACGTTCAACTGACCTTCAGCCACACTTCAGTTACCAATTATTTCCAAGCAACCTGAATGGGAAATTGATATAAGTTTTTCAACTCTTGGTGAGGTTGGAAAGGCTATGAGCAGTCTGAAGCGAGGGAAATCAGCACGATCTGATAGACTAACCCGCGGGGAAGTGGTTTAGTTTTAGCAGTTAGATTAACCGCGATCTTTGATAGAATTTGGGGACTTTTATCTCGTCATGCTAATGTGGTATTGCAATTGCAACTGACTTACATTCGTGCTAGATCCTACGCTGATTATAACCATCCGATAGTGAAGCAGGATTGATTTTTCCTCAGTATGTGGTGGTTATTTTTCCGTCGTAAAATCATTTTAATTCTTGTCATTATGTCATTTTAATTGGTGCACATTTTTCGAGTTGCTACCCTGTCTTGTGTTGCACAAGTTTAGGGTTATTCTATGTTGTTTTTTTTCAGTAAGAATAATTGTATGTTATGATTATATTGTAACTGCATGTTATTTCCAAAATATAATTTATTTATGTAGTATTATTTATCTTACAAAAGATCTATATTTCGTTTGCTTGATTCATACATTTTAAGACCTTACTAATCCTATTTAGGCCAAATCATCCTCTAAAACTTTCTCCATCTTTTATGGAATCAACTTCAATGAAAACTGTTAATGATTCTTTGCGTCATGAATTAAAGCATCCATCTAGTTTCCTGTTTGCTAATGAACAAAGAGAAATGGTTGAGGAATTACAAGCAACAAGAATTATTCTTTTGAAACTGAAAAGTTTATTAGTCGAGGTTAGCGACTGAAATGTTTTATTTTTTACTGGAGTAACTTTCTATTTCTCAGCATAGTGTTATTATCGTAATATTTCAGTAATCGATTTTCGAAAACTTTGTAAGCTGTACCTCACATCAACTAATTACTTTTACGTCGCCTGTTGTTTTGTGTAGAAAATTCATATTACAGATATGTTCTATCTAAATGATAAGAATTATAATAGCAGAGAAAATAACCCTCAGTCGTAGTGTTGTTTTTATCATATTTTGTCTAGTCAACAAAACAGTCTTTATTTTGGACCTTCTTTGCTAAGTAGTTAGATCGTTATGGGATTGTTTTGGGACTAGTAATCAAACGATTTACCGATTCTCCATGGTGAGCACACAACATAAACATATCGAACCGTATGGGTAAATAATGCGTAGTTTTGTTTATTCGAAACGTTTTCATTTACAATTTTAATATCTTCGAATTTTATAGTATCAAATAACTTTAAAAAATAAACCAACGATCTAGAAAGTTCCAAATTACATTGCCAGAATTACAAGACCCTCCACCATAAGTTTCCTAATATTCAGTCTATATCTGATAGATCGATCCCCTATTTAACTTGCTGATAGTTTTTTAAGCTTGGATAAAATTCTCAGCCAGTCAGCTACAACGTAGGACCAGGCACATATATGCATCGGAACATTAACACGACAAGATGAACACCGGATTCATAAAAGTAGTTGATTCAGAGGTGGTAATATATAAAAGAAAGATTGCAATAAGGATATAGTACAGGAAGAAAGGATTAGTTCGTAGAAAGAAAGATATGAAGTGATTTTAATCTCTTAGTTTGAGGGCAGACAGAGAGTGTATACACCGACGCCATTGTGATCGATTCTGAGCCATGTCACCAAGAGTCTCCAATCATTGGTTACGAAAGTCACGCGGACCCCAACCAAGTAGTCTGCATCTCCCAACATGGCTCAGACTACAAGTTAGTGACTTCAAGCACTGATGCCACATTTTGGTTTGGCCGCCCCCTAACTTTCTTCCAACCATCTCCAACACCGGTTAGCATTGCACGTCGTAGTAATCGGTGTTCGGGCATACGTAACACGTGGCCCAACCATCTCAGTCGATGAAGATTCACAAGCTGATCAACTGATTTACCATCATTCCCTAATACCCTGCGTCTAACCTCACTATTACTTATCCGGTGATCCCAGCAGACGCCAGCAATATTTCTGAGGCATCTGTGGTCAAATATTAGTAGCTTACGAGTACCTTCTATTCTTAATGGCCATGTTTCGCTGCCGTAAATTAAAACAGAACGGACTGCCGCGCAGTATACTCGTCCTTTTATTGATAGACGGATATCTCGCCTTCGCCATAGGTGACGCAAGTTGGCAAAAGCCAAACGACCTTTTCGAATCCGTGCTGAGATTTCGTCAGACACCAACCCATTATGGCTGATCAGACTTCCAAGATAAGTGAAGTTGTCAACGCGTTCGACTACTTCACTCCCTATCCTTAGTTCAGGTGTCGACGCAGACCAGTCCTGAAGCAGCAGTTTGCATTTAGAGGGAGAGAAGCGCATTCCAGACATTCTGGCATTGTTGCTTAGTTCTACCAAAAGACTCTGCATTTTATCAGCGTCTTCACCAAACAGGACTATATCATCTGCGTATTCTAAGTCGATAAGTGGACCTCCTGGATGGAGATCAATACCCGAGAATTCAGTCGACGAGAATGTTATCTCCATCAATAGGTCTATGATGAAGTTAAACAAAAATGGAGAAAGTGGACAGCCTTGACGGACACCATTTGAGGTTGCAAAAGTAGATGACAGTTCGCCATAAGCTCTGACTCGATTGGTAGTGTTCAAGTAAAGAGCCTTTCACAAGGTTTATATACTTCTGAGGTACGCCTTTCGATGACAGACACTGCCACAGAATCTCGCGGTCTACGGAGTCAAATGCTGCTTTCAAGTCGAGAAAGACCACCATTGTCGGACGTCGATAAGTATGCCTATGTTCTAGAACCTGACGAATGGTGAATATATGGCCGATGCAGCCATGACCAGGTCTGAAGCCAGCTTGATTCTCTCGTGTTTGCAGTTCACGAGTCTTAGTTAGGCGTCTGATAATTATCGAGGCTAGTGTTTTCGATACTATATTAGTTAAACTAATCCCTCTGTGGTTGTCACAGGATGATTTTAACCGTCTCTTATATATTGGGACGATAAGTGATTGTGACCAGTTAGATGGAATAACGTCTAACTCCGAGATCCTAGCTAAAATATTAGTCAACCTAATCGCTAAAATTGGACCACCAATCCATCTGGATCAGCTGCCCTTCCTCGTTTCAGATTAACTATAGCCTTTTGAACTTCTGCTAGAGTTAGGGGACCTACTTCAATGTTCCATTCACACTGTCTGGGAATGGTGGGTAGTTGTAGAGTAGCTGAAGGCCAGTTGAACTGTTCTCTAAAATGTCCCGCCCATCGTTCTAAACGTCTGGATTCGGGGCAGATGAGGGTGTCATCTTTTTCCGAAATAGTCTGACTTACATTTGACTTATTAATTCCAGTTTCCTTTATTAGTCTGTAAAGCTGTCTTGTGTTCCCCTTAGTCGACTGAGATGGTTGGGCCACGTATTACGTATGCCTGAACACCGATTACCACGACGTGCAATGCTAACCGGTGTAGGGGTTGGTTGGAAGAAAGTTAGGGGCGGCCAAACCAAAACGTGGCATCAGTGCTTGAAGTCACTAACTTGTAGTCTGAGCCATGTTGGGAGATGCAGACTACTTGGTTGGGGTCCGCATGACTATCGTAACCAATGATTGGAGACTCTTGGTGACATGACTCAGAATCGATCACAATGGCGTCGGTGTATACACTCCCTGTCTTCCCTCAAACTAAGAGATTAAATCACTTCATATCTTTCTTTCTACGAACTAATTCTTCCTTCCTATACTATATCCTTATTGCAACCTTTGACCTAACCACTCCTATGAATCCGGTGTTCATCTTGTTGTGCTAATGAGGTATGGCAACCTGAACCGATGCACATATGTGCCTGGTCCCACGTTGTAGCTGACTGACTGACTTAGTCGCCGCCTTTTCCATCTCTTTTGCTTTCGTTGCCCACCACTGCTCACGGTCGTTTATTAGACTTTTTCTTAACCTAGATCTGATTTGTTTGGTGTAGGGGGTCGACATGTTAGACGATGTCTCTCCTTATGCTTAAAATTTGTTCTTGCTAAAAATGGGAGATTGTCTGAGCACAGTTGCAGCAGACGATCACCGTTATCTGTTCCTTGTGTCGGAATACTAAAATATCCACCTAAATGCTTTTTTGTTTGGTTTAAACTACCTATTTGTGCATTAAAGTCACCTGCTACGAGTACTATGTTTGAACGTCTAGCTTTCTGTAAAATTCATCTTTCACTTCATCTGAGCTGCAGTCGGTGGGAGCGTAGGCAGAAACGACGAAAAGGCGAAGACTTGTGTCCCTATTATTCCGAGTTCTTACGTAGCCGTGTAGTCGAACAGCACATGAACGACTGTTAACGGGGATCCACTCTAACAGTGCTTGTTCCACCCTCATGCTTAGTGCTACGCCTACACCTGCCGGTCCACGAGAACTGGCCATCGGGTCACCAGATACACGGATGGTGTATCTCGTTGGCTCTCCGTTTTGCCGAGGTGAGGTCAAGTGAATGACCACACTGGAATCTTGTGTGCGTGTTTCAGAGACACAACATACATCAATGGTACGAGATTCTAGGGTTCTAGCCAAGGAAGCCTGCTGACCGATTTGACATAGGGTTCGTACGTTGAAGTCTCCAATGTATAGTTTGGAGAGAAGATTCAGTAGACCTAGGACAGTGGTTTGAGCACTGGGATCGTTGGCTATGGTGACACTTGAGGGGGAAGCCGAAGAAGGAAGTTTAGCGTTGAAAGTTGATGTACGAGGGATAATAGAATTTGAAGAGGGAAGAACACTTTATGGATCAGTTCAACTGGTCATCAGCCACACATCGGTTCCCCACAATCGCCAGTCGACCTGGATGGTAAGTTGATGTAGGTCCTCCAACTCTTTACGAAATTAAAAAGGTATAGGTAATCTGAAGCGAGGGAGAGCACCAGGCCTTGACAGGTTTACTCCTGAGATTTTTAAGGATGGTGGTCCAGTATAAGCAGTGAGCTTAACTGAGGTCTTAGGTAGGATTTGGGAACTGGACGTAATCCCATCTGACTGGTCTCAATCACTGATTGTGCCAGTCTATAAGAAAGGACAAAAGTCCTCTTGTGACAATCACAGAGGAATCAGTTTGACTAATATAGTGTCTAAAATACCAGCTTCAATAGTACTTCGACGCCTAACCGAGGCTCGTAAAGAGCAGACTAGAGAAAATCAGGCTGGTTTTCCACCTGGACGTGGTTGTATAGATCAGATATTCACACTAGGTCAGATTCTAGAACACACACACATTCAGACGCCCCACAATGGTAGTATTTCTCGACCTCAAGGCAGCATCCAACTCTGTTGATCGTGAGGTTCTATGGCAGTGTTTGTCATTGAAAGGAGTACCAAAGAAGTACATTAACCTTGTAAAGGCTCTCGACTCGAATACAACTGGCCGAGCGAGGGCTTATGGCGAACTGTCATCAGAATTGATTACCTCAAGTGGTGTTCGTCAGGGCTGTCCACTCTCCCCATTCTTGTTCAACTTTGTGGTCGACGTACTTTTAGAGATAACACTCTCCTCATCTAAATTTCCAAGAGTTGAACTTTTACCGGGAGGTTCACTTGTTGACTTAGAATATGCAGATGACATAGTCCTGTTTGGTGAAGACGCTGACAAAATGCAGAGTCTTCTGACCACTCTAAGCAACAATACAGGCATGTTTGGGATGCGATTCTCCCCCTCGAAATGCAAAATGTTGCTTCAGGATTGGGTTACATCGACACCCGAACTAATGATAGGGAGTGAAGTAGTTGAGCGTGTCGACTGCTTCACTTAACTTGGAAGTCTCATCAGCCTTTGTGGTCTGGTGTGTGACGGAATCTCAGCACGGATACAGAAGGCTCGACTAGCTTTTGCCAACTTGCGTCATTTATGGCGTAGGCGAGATATCCGTCTATCAACCAAAGGACGTGTTTACTGCGCAGCAGTTCGTTCCGTCCTACTTTATGGCAGTGAAACATGGCCGGTAAGAGTAGAGGATATCCGTAGGTTACTAGTATTTGATCATAGATGTCTCCGAAACATTGCTCGTATATCATGGGACCATCGAGTAAGTAACTCAGTTGTTAGGAAACGGGTACTAGGTAAGGATGGAAAATCAATTGATGACGTAGTGAAACTTCATCAGTTGAGTATGCCCAACGACCGAGTGCCTCGATGTGCGATGTTTTGTTGCATAGGAGTATGTTGGAAGAAAGCTAGGGGCGGCCAGACCAAAACATGGCACAAATCCAAGAAGTCACTGACAAGTGGACTGAGCCATGTTGGTAGGTGTAGACTACCTGGTTGGGGACCACGAGATGATAGCAACCGATGGTTAGAGACCCAGAATGACATGGCTCAAAATCGTTTGCAATGGCGCAGGTGCATCCACTCTTTGTGTTCTCCCAAATTCTAGTCTGAATTCTTCATGTCCTTTATTTTTTTTCCAAATTTATCTCACTGGATTATATTCCTTGAATAACGTCTTCAAACCCTAATCTTTCCGATTACTGCTTATACTCTTATTACCTCTACCACTAGGGGATTTGAATCGACCACTGCATCTCTGTGCTAATGTAGTATGGCAACTCGAACTGATGTACGTACGTACGAAGTTCTACGTTGTTACTGACTGACTGAGTGCTGTTAGAAGTATGAAAGCGGTTTTTACATCCCGATCGCTCACACTGTGGAAGGGTCTTCTGGACGTACCTGAAAAGAGCAAGAGGTGGTCTTATTAACCTGAGGACATGACGGCAGGACCTAAGGGACAACTGCCTAAAACCAGTCACACACGACCTTCTTGTGGGTAATTTTTTGTTAGCTCCGTGCTTGTTGGGACCTTACCGCCGGAGGTGGATATCCGTGGGATAACGCGAGGTGTGCATTTTTCGGGTCGACCTTTTCTAACCCCATTCTTCCTTGTAGGAAGGCAGCATCGCTGTCATGCTGGTTGTCTGAAGGAAACACCTTACTGTTGTCACACTTCTGTACAGTCGGCAGTACGACTTCGCCTTCGGACCTTGGATTTGTAGCTTTTAGTCTTACCGCTCTTCAACCGACCTGTCTGACATGGTAGGACCTTGAGGAACGGTTGTTCCAGCCAGTATAGCTCGGTTGCTTCATCACGATAGGCAAGCCCGACCACCACGTCAAGGTAACAACAACGGTCGGAAAAAATTATCAGTCATTGACATTGAAATGTACTATTTACCTTTCTATTGGTTCAACATGGGTTTATTTACATAATCCTAATATCTGCTATCGGTAATTGGCGATTTATTCTTGTTAGCGTGCAATGTATATTATTTTTTGCCAGCTAACGTTGTAAGCTTGAATGTACTCGCATCCGCGCCCATTACAGTTTGTGTTAATATTTCCTCTCTTTTTGGTACCAAATTATCATACATTTAAATCCAGACTCCGATTTCGGGAAATAATCTTTATTCTTCGACTTTCAAACCAACAAATCTATGTAACGACTCGTTGCATTCCCTCAACTTTACCACGTGTCATTGTAATGTAAATCAAAGTCGATTTCTGCTTGTTCCCTCAGTTGCCGAAGATAATCGACTAATACCCTCTAACTGTAACAAATCAATCAATAGAACTGGCCTCGAAGAGCTTATTGATGTAAGTTCTTCTTAAAAAACGTTTTACGTTATCATAGATAAATACATTTCTACTTGCTATAATGCATTTCTAAGACGCTTTTCAGTGGATTGCTGTATATATATTTTCTTATATACCTAAACTAATTGATATGGTCATTTTTATTAGGTAACTCATAAGATTTTATGATTTTTGCCCCTGTCAATTATCACGTGACAAAATCGCCAATCAGAACATCGACTTATAAGACCTTGTTGTTGTGTTAAACCAATGACAAGTCAAAACAGTACTGGCAGCTTTGCGCAAACTCTGAATCTTTATTGATCCTTCTCGCCTAGTCCTGACCGTTGAGTCCAGAAAGCGAATCTCAACCTCCGCTATATAAATCATGTATTTCAAACATACGCAGTTTATGTACAAGCAAATCAGACCGCATCATATCATCAAATAGAAAATAACAATTATACACGATCAAGCCAAAAGTGGCTGTGAGTGTGAGATATTGAGAATAAATTAAGAATAGTAAATCAAATAATAGTAATCAATAGGTCAAATGAAATTTTATGATAAAATGAATATATATATATATATATTTAGTTACTTTATAGTTATCCAATAAGAACGTGTGTAATAATAGTTCATCAATAATTTCTAGCAATTAACACTCATTTATTCTTCGTTAGGATATAATATAAGATTTATCTAGATTGTAATACTCTGGCCAGACAGGTTGTTCATTGGTTAATCGTAAAGATTCTAACTTAACATATTCTGCGTATAAATATTCTAAATTAAATTAGTTCTACGAACTTGATAACTGGTGTACCGTAGTTAAGGTTGCATGTTATCTACTGGTTGACCTTTGTTTAATGTATCGGTTTTCTATCTCTCTTTCTTGATAGATTTATCCCATTAATTACCAAATCAGTGTAAATATTATTGCTATTACACAGTTTATTTTTATACACCAACTTTCAGTCGTTGGTTTCTTTACATACATCAAAAATCTTTCTGTTTTGTTAGCTCAGTGCTGGGATTGCTAAATGATTGTACTAATGAAAAACCTATTTTACCCTCAACTTTTAAACTGTTTTCCGTAAAAATTGAAACCAATTGCATATATTGTTGTTTGCTTTTCGCAAATGAATTTTAGAGCCTTGCACAGCTTCACTTTGAAAAATCAGAAATTCTATGCGCTACCTAATAACTGTAAATCAACGTTTTATCGCTTCAGAACTGTAAGTATATTTTTGAATTTATGAAACATTGCTTCCAAAATCATCAGAAATTATTTCTTTAAGAGTTATTGTTACATTTTGTAATTATCAATAGTAATTGCACTTCGGATTGTTTACTTTTGAGCATATGGTCAGTTTTATTCAGAGTAAGCATACAGACATCGTCAACATAGAGCCTGTACGTTGACCCGATTTTCAAAACCTCATTAGCAGGAAAAAATGGAAATAAAAAACAAGTCCGAATGATGTAATAGCAATGATAAATAAATAGAAATAAATATTGAGAGTAAGTTTGGGAAGTTTGAGCGAAAACGTATAATTGGAACGGTAATGGGATTCAAGATCTAGAGGAAGATAAACAGTAAATGCGTCTGCACTACGATAAGCGATTCTGAGATATACCATCTAAAGTCTCTAAAAATTAACACTCGTTCAATTTGGTCATCTAGTTTGTTTAACGAAGATGACGTATTCACCGTAAGTAGAATAGTTGTTGGATCATAATTGTTACAGACTGACACAATGTTTACATCTCGGTATAACTTGCCTAAGATAAGAAAGCTTGGTTAATGGAAACTTTAGGTATCTGTTCAAATAAGAACCTATGCGTAGTATGTAATAATGTAATAAGAAGACGAAGATTATCAGAACTATGTGATATATTAGCGCAATACAAATCGAACAATCTGATCACACATACTTGTTAAGAACATTTATATGTATTAATAAATGATCAACTAGACTGGAAATGGGGTAAGAGGAGATAAGGGTAATAATAAGAGTAATAATAATAATGTGAACACAATTTGAAACCTAATCACTGGCTAATAAGTCATTATTAGGGTAGGTTTAAGGTGGGAACAAACTGTTTTTGAATACACAAAGAGGGGTTGAATTTTCGTATGGCTAGCGCTTCAATAACCCTTAGTATACGCCCTTTTACATCTTTATACAACACCACAAAAGCCGAGTTATGATCAATCTTATGGCCTGTTTCGATTATATGTTTAGTAATAGAGGATGATGGATGTTTATCCTCTGCTCTTATTGGGTCACTTGATTGTAGTTGTTTCCGCAACCATTTTGGTAGATGTTCACACACCCTAACTTTGAGATCACGATTGCTCCGCCCTATGTATGTGTCACCACACACACATTTAAATTGGTAAACAGTGGAATGTGACACAATCTTTTTCATGTCTTTAAGGTTTTGGATGAAGCATGCACCTTGTTCCTTCTTTGATAATGACCTTTGCTGCGCAATACGTTTTGTTGATGACTGCTTTAAGCCTTTGTTTCAATAAAAAGTTATTTGAATCACCTCTGAATGGTAAGGTGATGTACACAGGCTTTTTTTCTACCAAGGCTACAATAGGTCACACTGTACCATCGACTTACCGTCTATTTATGAATTTCAGAGGAATGCTATCAAAAGTATGTGAGTTGTCTGAATTTTAATTGGAGCAAGAACAGTATTTCCAGTAATTAGAACAACACATATAAGCGAACAATTGTTTTCAATTAGATCTTCAAAAGATTACGTTTAAATTATAATAACTTTGGAACAGAAAAGGCTATGGCAGTGAATCATACATCAAAAGAAAGCTTATGGTCTCTAGAATAAAATAGGAACAAAATTAAATGTTACTGTTTTACAAGCTTTGAATTAAATGAAATAACGTCCCCAAAAATAGCTCCCGTAGTTTGTCTAGGCTTCTTGTTCTCTGTTCATATCACAACCTACACTAAGCAATGAAGTGTCAGAAAATCAATTTCATACCCATTGATAAACCACATATGTTTTAATTACAATATCTCTTCAATCGTAGCAGATATTTTGAGAAAACTAGCTAATAATAATTTGAAGCAATCAGCTATATCACTTAACAGTTACGTTTGAGGATGAATGTAAAGAATAAATTTTTTCATGGACTATTTTAATTTTTTTAAGGACTGTTGATTAATTATACGACAAAGACGCGACCAACTATTCACTTTTTGTTATGATAGGACACTCGATGTTAACGTTTTTATACTCGTTCACACCTAGGATTCTATCTTCCTGAATTTTTATTACATTTTTGTTCATTTATTCTTTAAACACATAGGTGATTCAGGCAAACATGTACTGGATGGTTTTTGTATTGTATAGTATAGATATTTCAATACTGTGTTTCCAACACATTTTGACACTCATAATTTAAATCACATTAATAGTCGTATTATGTGTTATCCGGAGGATGGTGTAGTTCTGAATGTGGTTTTTAACATATTTTGACTGCTTCCTTTTATATTCTAAAAGCATTTTTATATCTTTTTTTTGACAACCTTAATGTTGAAAATGTAAAACTTCGTGAAATTTCCTTCAAAACATCATTGTAGTTCTTTGAATTGACAACTATAACTAGTTATTTTATCAAGATATTCGGTGTCGAATGTAACTACGTATCAAGACGTAAATCACAGAAATACCGTTTATTATCAAACCCATTGGTTTCGTGCCACTTTGCCAATACTGCTTTTCTGTTGTCACCTAAATATTTCAGTGATTCCATATCATACACTTAGTAATTTGTTTCTTTCTATTTCTGATAAGAAAGTGAATCGGATCAGGTGACTTATTATTAGCATTCCAAAATTCTTATTAGGTTAGTCACATTTTACGAATGCTGTACTTTATTCTGGTCGAAATCAATGTTTTATTTTAAGAAAGTTTAATGGAATTAACTAGTTCGTTTTTATCTTAATTGTTAGCTCCATTTTCTAAATATTTATCCACTGATCATTTATATTGTCATATCGTTTTGTGATTAAAGAGGTTAAAATATTAGCATTTTAACATTTGTAAGCTATTAATCCATACTCCACATACTTCGGTTAGAATAGCCGGGTAGCAGCACATGATGGCTCAAAACTGAATACATAAATTTGTGCTTGGTAAATGAATCAAAATATCTAAACGCGTGTTTTAACTGTCATTGCTGCTACTGTTATTCTGTTATAATTCAGTTGAAAGTAGGTATTTTTACACATAGTGTATCATATCTCATTGTTATATTTTAATACGAACACGGTTGTAAGCAGTTGAAGATAAACCACGAAATAAAATGCATTCAAATTATTTTGCCTCAGTTGTGGTTTTAGCCTTACTGAAATAGGTATTGGCTGTCGTGCTTTGAAAAATTATTTCTCACAAACCAAATATCCCGTATAAGATCTTCAGGAAATTCACGGATTACCACATCCTGGATAACTAGACACCTTCTTACTGCCGCAAATTTTATTGTATTCAAAGCAAACTCATCAAAACAGATGCAGTTTTTCGTCATTTGAGCTATGTTTCAGTTGACACTATTAAAGGTATCAAGTAATCTAGTCCTGGAAGGTTCGGAATATATATAATATTCCCTAAATTTAATTTGCAGTACAGTAATGAAGTACAATAATCCCAGTATATAGTAAAATTAAAATTTACAAACTATATATATACGCATTTTTTTCTTCGTTTAAATATTACTGATCACTGTTCACCGAATTTTTTTTAGACTACATATTCTGAGGATTTGGATACTTAAATATATTTTTTATAGTTCTAGCAGATATCTGGCGCTTCTTTTGGGAAGTTTTTCTTGGTAAATTTTCCATGACCTTCCTAATTGTAACTTTCCTCAAGATGCAGCTGATATACTTTATTTCAAAAAAGTGGATTTTTATTTATGCCGTTTTGTTTTGTGTGTCTATTCTGGTCCTAGCTTAACTTGATATATTTATGTATGTCTATTCAAACTTTATTTATTCAGAGATAGTGCCACTACTTTCAAAAAGAAATTTATTTAATTTCCGGATTTTTTAAAAATGCATTCCTCAGAACATAGTATGGTTTTTTGAGATTATCAACTGTGATGCCCTTTATTTATTTATGCACGTTTGGTATTGAATGTTTTTATGCAATAATAATTTTAATCAAGAAATCATTTACTTTTGGTTTTCTCACCAGAACTGATGTATGTATGCAGATGTGGGTTCGTTGCTTTGATCAAGTTGGCTCGCTTTACAATATCATTCATTATTTGCCGATGCCTTTATGTCTATCACTTGATATTCATGTTTTTCAAAGGTTTGTTAGCGGAAATTCACTATTGCCACTTTCTTCTATTTTACAATATAGTGTCTGCAGAAAATTCAGACTATTGACAGGAATTTTTCATGTCAATCGCTGTACAATAAAATTAGATATCATGGCCTCATTGATCTAAATTGTTTATTTTCTTCACAGTAGCAATGTTTTATCAGATTGCTTGTTTCGAGGCGCTGAGTTCACTGTCTACCTCTTTTCAAAATTGTTAGTATTTCATATTATTTTACCACATATATAAAATCGTTATCAAAATATATCGTAATGTCTACTTATTTAGGTTTATGTATTTGTGAAATAAGTGCAAAATTATAGTTCCAATAATTTGAACAAGATGTGATTAATTTCCATTTTCGCCACATCTAGTTGACGTTAACCCTTGGAATCTTGTTCATTCGCTAACAAAAAATCACCATTATTGATTATAGTATTTATGATTAGTTAAATTCATATTTCTCTATGGTACCATATTTTATTTACCCATATTACTCGTTGTATATCTCCTCATAACTGTTTTCAAAATGAACTTATGTATGACATAAACCGTCATACTTGTCAGGTCACATGCATGTGTTGAAGTTGAGTTGTTTTTGAGGATACTATGTTTTAAACGAATGTGTAAATTAGGAAAAAGTAATCACGTTAATGTTAAATGTGACGTACATGCATAGTCGTTGTACTTCCGTTCAAAGATTTATGAATATAACCCAGTTAGTGTGTGTGTGTGTGGGGGGGGGAACTGTCATTTCGATTTGATGGCAGCCTGTGTGAGCGGTTTAGTTGGTAAGGTAACTAACATGTGCACCTTGAAGATTTGTGTTCACACAAAAACACATGACACAATCATTGTAATAAGGATTTTCTCTATTCCATACTAACAAAATAATCATTCCCGTTAACCAACACTTGAGTGTGGTTTAGTCACCCAAGTATCCATGATTATCAAGTGTTTGAAATGACTGGACAATTGAACTAGCATATTATCAATGGATAATTACTAAAAGGAACCTGTCATTGGGATGTATATATATGATTTACAATAATGAAATAATACTCGTCGAGTGGATACGTTAAGTAATAATTACATAATGACAATTCGATTATAAATTAAAATTGAGTAATTGAAAGAAGGAGGATTAATAATAGTCAAAGTAATTATTCGAAAATCAAGAAGTTGCTACGTTACATAGTATATAAAAAAAGAGAAGGAACAGGATATTTTGATGAGTGGTCAGTAGAGTAGTAGTTATGCAAGAATCAAGAGATCAATGTTGAGAATGATTAAAATACAAAGTTCAAAAAAATGGAAGAAGAAACTAGTTTATTAATGTTCTGCTACAAACTCCCCTATACCGATGGCCAAGGTAGCGAAAGTAGTTGTACAAACTTCTTTTGGATGCAAAGGTTAAGTTTGTGAACATGGATTGCAATGGCTTCAGCAATGTGCAAAAGACGCACTCGTAAACCATGTAACATATTCGATGGAATATGGTAGATAACCTTAAAAGCTTTATTCAGTTCAACTTGATGACCTGTGTCAACCAAGTGGGCCTGTCCTTTGCTCAACCACGATGGATGGTGCTCTGTTATACGATGACGAACTTGCCGAATTGTACGCCCCATATAACTGGCTCCACAGAACCAGTTTAATCGATAAGTACACATAGATTTGGCGAATTCAGGCAATCTGTCTTTATTGGCTGTTCTTATTGTGGGGCGGTTGTAGAAGGTAGCACTCAGTCTGATGCACTAAATGTTTTTTGTACCGCTTTTCTCAATCTCTGAGTCACAATTTCTTCAGTAGTATCATTTGGGAATTGTAATTTTAAGTACAATACTTCCTTCGGAACGGTAGGCAGCTTTATCCTTTTCATCTCCTTCATGTGTTTTCACTGGGTACCCATTCCTACTAAGTAAGTTACGAAAATTTACCAATTCATGTACAATAATGTCGTCCGAACAAACCATTCCAGCACGATGAGTCAGGATCTTTATCAAGTTCCTTTTGTATCTAATAGGTACTGCACTATAGAAATAAGTGTATTGTCCTGCTGCAGACTTTCTGTGTAACCCTCTTTTTAAAGTTCCATCTGCTCGTCTAGTTAGTTGGACAGCTGGAAACGTTATGCTACGGTTCTTTTCTTCTTCTAGTGGAAAATTAATAGATGAATGAACGTTATTAAATATAATAAGTAAACTGTCCTTTACCTGTTCTTTTTCTAGTACTACGAAAGTATCATCCACATTGCGATAATAAGATGTTAAATTGCTAATTGTGTTTTTAAGTGGTCCATTCTCCAGTTTTGCAAGGAAAATAGAGGGCCCAATAGTGACCCCATCTAGTTGTCTATAGTATTCGTTGTCAAATCGGGATTGGATAGAATCTCTTGAAAAAAGTTGTATGATATTACACTTTGCCTGATAGGACCTCTATGTTTTTTCATTTTGATAGCTTAAATTCATCCGGATTGAGTGTCATTTCATTGCTGCTGATAAAAGAAGCCTACATGTTCTCTTCTAGTATGAAAACACTCCATTCATTTAACGGTTGAAAATTTACCGTAACATGGAAATACGTCTATAAAGTAATGAGATCAGTTAGATAAAAACTAGAAGTTCTTCCCCTTTTGTTACCACCTTTCCAATGGGTTTATCTGTATTTGTTAAAAATATCTCTATCCATAAATTATTCAAATAATTATCATTCAACTTACTGTTAGTTTTGAATTCATGTTAAATAACCGCATTCCGTTTGTAACAAACATAAGATGGCCAGCAAATTAATTGACCAGGTATGCGCATTTATTGCACTATATTTCTGGTGTGAGATATCAAATCTACGGGCACCTTTTACTTTTGATAGTTTAATTAGACCTTTTCTCATCTTTAATTAGACTACATACAATGCATTTTTAAATAAGAAACATCTATTGCAATGAACCTGTGCTTTGTATTTAGTTCATCCAAAATGAAAATACCGATGTTTGGCGGACTTCACAAATTCCATTCGTATTCCTATCTGCTTACGCAATCATCATGTTTCTCCCTAAGACTTCCAAAATATTCAAGCTTGCAAACTCGTTTGTTACATTCGGGACACAAAACAGAATTATTTGGTGATAAAAATGAATCTTGGGTACCCATATATCGTTTCCGTTCCATAATTTTCCTCCAGGTCTGTTTCCAATTATTTGTCTTCTAAAAATTAGTAAGTCACTAACACGAAATATATATATGTTAAGCATGTAGTCCAACACAGTTAACCAGTTCTTCAAGGATTGGTAACATGTAATCAGACCTCCTTACATGTTTCATCCGTAGCATATTCGAGGGCGATTGTGCTGATAGATTTTAGGTGGTTCATGTTTGTGCTAAAGTGGTTTACTGTGGTTCTGCCATAAGCAAAATCATGGATATTTTTAAACCCTTGCTGTTTTCCAATAGTCGCAGGATTTCTTAAGACAGGAATCCGTCGATAATTGGTGTGGGAACAGTTAAAAAAATCTCACATTGTATAAGTGAGCATACTGAAAATGTATGTAGTCCATTGAATTTGATCGTAGGTTTTTGAAAAATTTGTCCACCACTAGATGTTATTCCATTATTAAAAAGCTTGAGGTCTTCGTTCAATCGATATATGTCCAAACTTTCTTTTACATTGTAGACCCAATGGTCATTATGACTATGAAATAGCCCAACACACCCCACCTCTACTCAATATTTTTACAATTTAATCCATATTAGTTGCGGTATTATCACGGAACACAATAAATGTCGTTTAAGACACAATTGCTACAATAACAAGTATTGGACAGTGTTTGCAAACTGGAACTTATTCCTTGTCTTAAAACCTGCCAGTGGACATCCAAAAGACACACATGTTTCAATTATTTTCATGAGAAATTAGTAGTATTTAAATTGTTGGTAACTAGACGATGTATTAATAATTTAACTTATAATTATTTTCCTAGGCGATCTCACAACTTAAAATTATATTAACTGGCTCATTAATTTCTGGCTGTCCAGTAGCTATATACAAATACCTACATGATCAAGTTTCTTCCTCATTAGTTTATACATTTCTGGGTTGTGCCGTGTTTTCCCTGTGCAGTCTGATTATTTTCAGTTGGCTCAGCATAAAAATTGTGGGAGTCGTAAGTTAATCATATTTTATATTATATATAAGATTCCTCTTGTATAAAATCTTTTTAGTTCTTCGAGTTAAGTCATACTATACTGACAATTCTTATTGTTTCATATAGCGGTTAATTGATAAGGACAACCCAAGATTCATCACATCCAAGTTTATAGTGGCCGTCAGTCAACATATCTATCTTCAAATGAGAGGGATTTACGACGAGTTTCTACACATACTTTTCGTGTTATGCGTGATCAGAAATCGGTTTTCGGCTGGAGATTTAAGATGTTTTGTTTCGTGACGTCAGGTTTTTCATTATAGTGAGCATCTGATCTTCATAAATCACTATGAGGAAAACTTAATTTACAAGAAATATATGCGTTACTAGTTCTTTGCAATAGTTGTCAGTAGGTCCGTAATTAAAAATTTGAGTGGTCAATATAACTTTTAGATACCCTGCAATTGCTTTTTGGCCGTTTGTATTTCAGGTTAGTATTCACAGAGAGTCTGGTCTAGTACGCATCGGACATTTAACATTTTGGGGAAAACGTCAAAATACAATTTTGAATTCAGGTCAAATAGTCCCACCATCGGATCTTAACGAAACACCGGGAAAAAAAAGTTATGTTCGTATTGGGATAATTAATGCAAATCCCAATTCCACAAAACCTTTGGGTATTGGACGAACCTTTCTTCTAACTAGAGGGAGATCGGAAATATTAGACAGAGAAAAATTCAAGCAGATTTTCGGATTTATATGAGTTTTAAGTGTTATCATCTTAATGTATAACATATCCCCACACCACGCTTTACAAATGGAGCACGATGATACACTATTGTAACTGCGGTCATCGTAAAATAAGAAAATAAACTGATTTATAAACATCTTTTATACTTTCCACTGCTGATCCTGGTTAGTGAATTAAGTGATGCGACGTTAAAATCTGGCTCAGAAATAGTTTAAAATATTACTGACATTGATGGATGGTAATGAGAAATTGATCCTAAAGAATCATTACGGATTTAGAAGACAACTAACTGTTACTACTCAGTTCGATTGCTATTGCATCGAATTTATTTAATAATATGATTTCTTTCTGTGAGTCTCTGGTACTCAGAGATCATTTCTCACAATATATTTTTTGTAGACAAGTTAATCTTGGCAGAAAAGTTTATTTTATACTTCCTACTGCTGGTTTTGTGGAAGTCAGTATCTCTAAATTCCCGCGAATCGGGCAAAAAAGTTGAACTTATAACGTTCAGTTAATAAATGAATAATTAAGAACGAAAAGTCATAAAATGACGACTAATTACCTACCCTTAACAAGGCGTAGTTACGACAATGAGTTTGTTAAGGTTATTTATCGTCTCGTCTTGAAAGTTACTCACATTAAAAAATTTTCTAGCACTCGCCTGAACAAACATAATCTGAGTTTGGAAAAGTCGTTAGTCTTCTGTTATCTTGATCAGTCTTATAATCGAATATACTGAATATACGTCGGTCTCTTCCAATTTAATAACTTAATTATCAAAATATTTGTAAATCTAATCATTTCCTGTCAGAGACGGATGAGGATTATCGCTTACATCTTTTAAAGTTTCAAAATAAGCATATCTGCTCAGCAAGCTCACAGCTGATATCATACATCTTTGTTTCATTAGTTAGTAATTTTCACCTCTAGTTTCTGCTGATTTGTATCAGTGCAAAATGTGACATTCATCTGCTAGGAATTATGTGCCGAATAACGTTTCACAAATTTGGTATTGAATCGGTTTGATTAGGTCGAACAAGAAACCAATGTAAGAATTTTAAAGTTAGATGAATAACGTTTACATTTTTCCATACATTCTCAGCTAGCATCAGCTTCAATATCGATTCTGTTCAATATAGGGTTGTGGAGATTGTTGAGTTTCACTGAAATCGTGAACTGGCCTTAGTGAGACCGTCCGGTGCTTCCAGGTTTTCAATGGTGGTCTAACTTAGATCAGTTCATGATTTCAACTAAACAATTTGTTGTCTGCCATAGCTCTCTCTTACCGACACGGTCTCATTGACTCACCATACTAATTTCAAATAGATTTGTCAACTCATATTTTGTAATATCAGTAAGGAATATTTATCTGGTCACTTAATTTTCGAAAACAGCACATAAATAAAAATAAGTGGTCCACTTCTAGTGTTTCTTCCCAACTTGCTACCTATGACTGTCTACCACTTTCTTGAATATAGTCTCATAGTTCTGGTTTGTATCATTTTTGTTTTAAGAGGAGATTATCAAAAATATAATAGGACGATTAATTTTGAAGTTTAATGCATGATGAGAATATTTTCCTTCATTGGTGTTATTTAATCCTGGCAAATATACATTGTGCCTCTGGAATAAGATGTTGGATTTAGTTTTACGATGAACCTCATTACCAGTCCAATAAGGTATAGAAGACCAAAGTCATCGAAAATACTGAATCTTTTTTTATTATCAAGATTTGTACACTATTTTTCGATGACTGTTAAAGATATAGGCTTGCACAGAAAATGATATCTCTTTTGATTAGGATTACGGCTGGAAGAAAAAAAAGTTTATATATATATATATATATATATATATATATATATATATATATATATATATATATAAGCCTATTAAGAAAAACACAAACGTGTCCAGCAATACTGTACATCTTAACAAATTAAAAGCGGTTCACAATATTTTACGTTAAATATTTTCACTGTTATGAGCACTGTTTGTATTACTTTGTTCATGAGACATTTATAAATAGACTATATTCACTCTAAAAACGATCAGTTAAATTGTATGAAGGTGAATAATTCGCCTATGAAACTAACACTAGTTAGAAATGATTTTATGTTATGTTGTTTTCTGAAATATTGACTGCTTGACGAAATAAGAAAATTACTAAAATTATGCATACATTTTGAAAAATATATAGTATTACCAACTTAGATAAGTGTAATTTACGATCATTGTAGCTTAAATGTTATTATCATTAACTCCAGAATTTTACTTGGATTTTAAATTGTAAAACATGTACTATAAAACTTGCATCACAAAAGAAGGGAGAAACATACCTTCTAAAAACTTATTTTCCAACTCCGAGTTTCCTGCAACTTTGGCTGCATTATGCATTTGACATAGTAGTTCTTCCAGTCTTCTGATGCATCTAATTACACTACCTTCGAATGCACTTGTCAATTCACAAAGTCGAGAAAAACTGACACCTTCAGCCCAAGCACATACAACATCCATTAAATCACCGACAAAACGATTAACATAAGCTTGCTCGTCATCCGAAAGACTATTTCTATTATTTCCAAGATTCTCAACCAAAGTCGTTGGTTGTTTCTCATTATTACTATGAACCGTGTTAATATTACATTCGGCAGACATTTTTGCAAGATATCTTGCTTTATCCTTTAAAGATTCATAATATGCAAGATTATGTTACTAAAAGTACTGACAAAATTTGAAGTGGGAAAGTTGACAAACAGTAGGGAAGCCGAAGTCATCAAAAGTAAAACTTCCATAAATAATCTGATGTTCGTTAATACCTGTTGACATGACAGAAATTCACCAAATGTCCGAGGATCAACATCACTTCGAGTTATCAAATCATATCAGTTGTGGCCCCGAAAATTCCTAATCTAGTTTTTATTGTTACAGCACCTCGTTTCTAGGATGTGCACAACCAAGCAGCCTCGAATCTCCTAAAGTGTAAGTCATATTTCTCGCAAGCTACACTGCATTGGTCGAGTTCGTGTATAAGTAATAAAAACGGTTTTATGGTGAATACTGATGGAAAAGCGATTCCTGAAATTTCAGGAGCAATAATTTATTTGATATCTTCATCTAATTTGGCTTACAAAATATAGTCATTCAGTCAGCTACAACGTAGGACCAGGCACATATATGCATCGGAACAAGTTGCCATACCACATTAACACAACAAGATGAACACCGGATTCATGAAAGTAGTGGTGGTAATATATAAGGGAAAGATAGCATATAAGGATATAGTACAGGAAGAAAGAATTAGTTCGTAGAAAGAAAGATATGAAGCGATTTTAATCTCTTAGTTTGAGGGCAGACAGAGAGTGTATACACCGACGCCATTGTGATCGATTCTGAGTCATGTCACCAAGAGTCTCCAACCATTGGTTACGAAAGTCACGCGGACCCCAACCAAGTAGTCTGCATCTCCCAACATGGCTCAGACTACAAGTTAGTGACTTCAAGCACTGATGCCACATTTTGGTTTGGCCAACCCTAACTTTCTTCCAACTATCTCCAACACCGGTTAGCATTGCACGTCGTAGTAATCGGTGTTCGGGCATACGTAACACGTGGCCCAACCATCTCAGTCGATGAAGATTCACAGCCTGACCAACTGATTTACCATTATTCCCTAATACCCTGTGTCTAACCTCACTATTACTTATCCGGTGATCCCAGCAGACGCCAGCAATATTTCTGAGGCATCTGTGGTCAAATATTAGTAGCTTACGAGTACCTTCTACTCTTAATGGCCACGTTTCGCAGCCATAAAAAATATATCGATTGTATGTGATTGATTGAGGACACATCCATAACTGCCAGGAAAGTCCTACTCATTGCCTTTTCGCGGCGAGGGTGTTGTTTACGAAATTGAAAGGACGAAAAGAGAATGTCCGGCACTTTAACCGGGCCGGTGGACATGGAGAGTTCACCTAGGGGAGTTGGAAAATCCTGATTCCAAACCAGTAGCGCACATGGGCTCCAGTATCCTGAGGAAACAAAAGGCGTATGAACCCATTGTTGGTCATCGGCTACCATGGGTTTGCATCTCCTAAAGTTGCTCCACTGCCTTGTAGACCAGACCTTTATGTAAAGGGCTTTGGGTGTGGCTTCTTAAGAAAGCCATCTACATCGGTCTGGGCATCCGGTCAGCATCCCAGCTCACACACATCAAGTGACTTGTATGGTGCACAGGTAATCGGTGCCGCTTTGTACCAAAATTTATGTGACCACATAAATAAACCCATCAACTAATTTGAGCTTACGTCTGCTAAGTTTCAATTGGTGAATACTGGTGAGTTTATCATTAATAGCAATGAAAAACGTACGTGGATACTTTTTATAGCCTTCTTCATGGCAGGACTCAGATTTATCTTGTGATGTTTTGTTTGTTTTTCTGCTACAAAACATGACATGACACCTGCTAGTTGAACTGGTGAGAATTGTGAAAAGAACCCATCCAGCAGTAACTCAGTCAGTACCAATTCATCACCAGTTGAAATTTCACAGGCGATACGACCTTTTAATGCAATTGTATCATCCTCTGAACAAAAACAAAGTCTCCGCAAAAGTCTTTTCCTTGCACGCAACTCGTCAAAATGTGAAGGTGAATCTGTTCTGTTTATACGTTCACGAATGTCTTCGAGTTTCCTCAAATTCTGTAATTAAAATAAATGCACAAGTGATGTAATATATGGATACTTTAATATTTGATTATAAAGTGATTAAAATATTCCTCAAAGTGAAGAAACGCAGAGTAAAATGAAAATGTATTACATAATTACAGAATCAAACGCTAGACAATTCTTAAAACATTATCTGAAAAACACAGATGATGTGTGCAGAGATGATTATTACATCCTACTACTAACTAAATAGCATTGAAGGCATTTTGAGAATAAGTCAACAAGCTAAGAGAAACTGATAAACAAGCTTGTATTAAAAGTTCGACAATAAAAATTTCGTACAATCCATTATTGCTGAGTAGTTTTACAATCTTCTAATCTTACTCAAAAAAAGTATATCTATTGTAAATCATTAATAACAAATAACATTTGGATAGGAAAGATTTTGCTTCATATTAACTTGAGTCTTTCTTAGCAGTATCTATGTTCTCATCAAGA